CATTGACAATCAGAAATCCAAGCATCTTTTTAAAATCCACTTCAGAGGTGAAGTAATGTACACATGTAAGTACAATATTTGAATATTAAGTTCAGGAAAAAGTTCAGGAGAAGGTGAGTATATTTTCGAGGTCCATTTCTTTTTTTAAAAAAACGCTGCTGTCTAAAATGTCAAATATCCTAGATATTAATTTATCATAAGAACTGGTTACATAAAATGTTGAAAAGTCCTACAATTTTTATTGATTTTTGTAGAATTTTGTTGTTTCATATTTTCTAGCAGTGCCATTAAGGTTTTTCCACCCTCACAGTTTTAATGGTTCAAAGTACAAAAACTGCAATTTATTTTAGTTAAAATTATAGGTTGCCATATGTTTTGATGTGAGACAAAAAAAGCAGAACTATATCAACATAAAAAAATCGTATTTTTTTAAATTGTAAAACTGGTTCAAATGCACAATTCTGATACTAAGAGTTCCTAAATACTTAGCAGTTGATGAACTTGAGATATGAATATCAGGGAATCGATTCTACATAAAAAAAACACAATAAAGAATGAAGGTATCTAAGGAGTTATTGCACTTTTCACATTTTTTTAAAGATTGAATAGTTGATTAAATAATGTAAGTTCTATTACATAAAATATTTATCATAACACCAATTGAGAATCAAGCTATCAAAAATTGTTCTATTCGGAATGAATTTAAATTGATAACAGTTTTTGCAAAAACCGATGACATCACAGGAGGATGAAAATACCTTAATTTGTCTTCCATAGAGAGGCTTATTAAATTGTTTTAAAGGTTTTACAATGGAAAATGAAACACGCTTTATATGATTTACATTGAATATTTCATTTCTCGATAGTATTTCAATTCCTTCTCCAAAGAATTAATCCTTGAATTAGTTTGATTTCATTGAAGATAAAAAAAAATGATAGATTCATTTAAGGAATCTGTCTTATTTTTGTATTTCATAATGTGATTAATCAATTGTCTTGAGTGATTATTTTCATAAAGGTCGAAGGCATTTATGCACAAATCGATTAATAATCGTCAAAAAATCGAAAAATCTCATTCCATATATTACATGCCCCGCCTATTGATTGTCTCTATTTCTCCCGCCCTACACGTAATTTCTTTTAACTGTGCCTATCGATGAACAAGTACATTGATGGAGAAATAAAGTACATTAACTTTTTAAAAAAAAATTATCTTGGACAAAGACATTGTAAATGTAAATATTCAAATATCTTTCAAATATAACATATACTTAGAAGTCGAACACTTCCTTAGAATTTTTATGGTTTATTTACATAAGGACTTGTCAAGTTATTATATTAATGACTGATTACAATTAATTATGTAGCACTTGGTGTTAAATAGAATTATTTTCGGGATTTTGTGAACAAATGCATCAACACTTTCAACCGAACAATCTAAACATAGGTATCTTTTATCTTGACAACAAGCGATTGTCACTTATCTATATAAAAATGAAGTACTTAATGGCCGTGTATATTTTCGTAGTAGAGCTTCATCTTCTAAAGATTATGACCTAAAAACATAGGTCCCGTGTCGCGGCATGCGTTTGCACGATAAAGAATCCTTGCTACTCTAGTTTGTTTAAATCATGACCTCGGGGGTTAGGCGGGCTGCAATGGCTGATCAAAGTTTTACATTGTTATATATATGGAAAATCTTTTAAAAATCTTATTCTCCAGAACTGTTGGGCCAGGAAAGATGAAACTCACGCGGGAGTATACTCAAGTAGAGTACAGGGTGTTTCACAATATATGTCACACATCTAAAGACAGATTTGATAAATGACAACAAAAGCTACATATACATTTTATACATCATTTTAAACAGCATATATTCAAAATTAATTTTTTGAGTCGGAAGTATCCAAAATTCTCTTCTTCAGTTACTATGACAACAAATCCTAAAATGTTATTCATCAAGTGTTTTCTCAACATTGCCCTAAATAACTTAAGAGACTAAATGCTTATAAATTTCTGATCACTGTTTTGTAAGTTTCCCAAGATTTTTGAGACTTTTCTTGTTTTATATCTGGCTTTTTAGAACCCAAAAAGTGCAAATTTATTTTTATTTAAAGTTGCATATAAATAAATGTGTCGTTTCAGAACTGCCGGTATGTGTTAATTGGTGTCCACTTCTTTCGCTCTTTTTCAGTCAATCTTGCAAACTTTAACCCTGGCTCTGAATGTCATTTGACTTTAAACGTTGAAATCTTGTATGCAGACACACTTTACTCAAACTTAAGATTTCGAAATACTCCTAATACACTTACTGGCATTGTTACAACACATCTCCTAAACTCAGTTCTGACTTTCATGAGGTTTTCTCATTGATTGACTTCACTCTGATATTGTTTTTATCTCTTCTTGATTTTTGGGGGGTGGGGTGAAGAGGAGGCAGGTTTTAGCTGGCTTTTATCTTTACATTATAATTTAATTTAAACCTCTAATTATTATTAATATAAGAAAAATAGACAGTAATTGCTGGTCTAGGTATTTTTTATCATCACCCCCTGTAAAATATTTAAGAAATCTTAAACGGTTCTTATAATAAAAGTTTACAAAAAATTTTTGCTGCAAATTTTACGCAATTTTGAGAAAGCTGAAATTATGACATCACTGATTATATCATCAGCTACTTCATGGTTTATTATAATTTTCCCGATACTATGCAATATAATAATTTTAGATCAATATGCTTAATTATAGTGTTTTGGTATTTTTGGTATCAGTCTAGATATTCAGATTATGACCATTTAGATGTGTGACATATATTGTGAAACACCCTGTATATTCAAGTTTGTATAAATAATATACATGTACATATAACTTATAGGAAAAATATGCTCCAGAACAGAAAAGTTTTGTTTAGTCAAATTGACATGGTAGTATCTGCAAGTAGTGAAGATTTGCATTTATTCAAATATTGTCAGGATGGGTGAGGGGTTTTAGGCAGGAGTTACAATGGAAGGTAGAATAATATGTTGGAAAATCTTTTTAAAATCTTCTTTTCAAGTATGGCAAATTTATCTATGTATGCATTATTGATAAAGTGACATTATCAAGTACATGTGATAGAAAATTCAAATCTAAGCTTTTCAATACAAAGCTGTTTTGTCTTTTTTTTAACTTGCCAATACCCATCCATTTTATACTTGCTTAAATCTCATAAATTAAGAAAGGTAATAATCTTTAAAATATAACGTCTGCTCATAATTATTTGCGCTTAACTTGTACCGAACTATACTGTGAAACGTCATGATTCTATGACTTGAAAATTAAGAGTGTGTTGCGTCACATTTCAGTAAGTTGTTAAGAGTTAAAGTTTTCGACTAATGTCTAAATTAATTCATATATCTATAGAAATTTAGAAAAACAGAAAAGAAGATGTAGTCTTTCGTTTCTTTTTGCCAAAAAATTACACAATACTAAATTTGGAACTGAGTATACATGTGCCATTTCTCTTTAAAGCTAATACATTATATATAATTGATACATATACGAGCTCAAGAAAAATAGGTGTAAGGCATTTAACAGACCGTATTTTTTTTTACTCAGCACAGTTGAAAAATTGCGTTAAACTGCGTTTGAAAACTAGAAGGGACTAAATTTGGTGGAATGGTAGCAAATGAAAACACTTTTCCGCCTCTCATAATTGTTATAATATGAATTTAGTTATACTTTTTTCCACACAAAGACTTGTTGAAATTTTTCAATGTAAGATAGATTAATAATAAGGGACTTCAAACAATAAAGATAACGAACAGTATTCAATCTTAAAGTCCATAAAACAATACAAAACAGAGCAGAGCAAACACGGACCTCCGAAACAGCAAAGGCGAGATCAGGTGGAAAGAGGAGAAAGCATCCCTGTTATCTAGAAAACTATATCAGCTTTTAAAAGCTTCCAATCTACGAAGAGATTGAGATTAAATCCTTGAAAAAGTTTTTTTTTTGTTTTAATCTGTTTGTAAACGATTAAAACTTTTTTGTTTTTGCATCATTTTGTATCTTTATGTGCCAACGTAACCATATATAAAAATAGAAGAAAATGATTAAACATGAAAGCAAATAAAAATAACTAATACATCCTAAAAATAATAGAAATGTAGAGAAACTTCGGATGAGCAAATGTTCATTTTAGCTGATTTATTTTTGTCAATTTTGTAATATCATCTTATAGACCATATAATAATAATACGTCTACGAAAAAGGTAGCCTTGACCTGTCCTTGCCTCCTTTATAAAACGGTTGAATTTAATCTCACTGATACCATCACTTATTGATATTGCTTAACTTGATTCTGTTCAAATTTAATTAATTCTTAAATGAAAGAAATATTATTAAATGATTGAATATTGTTTAACGTTTCACTTATATGGAGACGACTACACATGAAAAGAATCCTAGAAACCATAACCCATCATTAAGCAGATGCGTACTTCATTATATAAATATTCCATTTGAACATGCAAACACAGATCTAACCAACATACAATACAAAATATTGTAAGGAAATATTGATTTTGACTTTAAAGTATGCAGAATAGAGCAATTGACAAGATATACGAGAAGTAAGAACATGATAGACAAGAAGTTAAAACATGTTCTAATATTAACGTATGTTTTGAAGAGACAAATGATAATAATTATATAAATGGTTGAATAGGACAACTATCTCACACCTTATAGAATGTGCTTGGTAATTCATAAAGAGTTATGTTTAATGCACTTTTGACAGGATATTTGACATCCAATAAATATAAATGTTTAATTTTCTTTCTTCTGCTAATATTTGTATACAGTTATTGTAGAACTATCCTCACCCCCGACCATTAAAGTGTCCTGGTCATCAAAACAGAGAGCACGGGGTTTTTTGGACATTGATCCGGTGGGATTAAAAGGGAAAGAAACTGACCAGCCATATTTAGCATGTGGACACTAGAATAAATTCTAATAAACTAGGAGCAGTAACTATTACACACCAAGATATGTACCAGCTTGTCAGTACAGATTCCATAAGGATGGAATCCAGCCTGAGACTGGTGCCCGAAGTAAGAGAACCGGTGCTCTCCGGATCTTCTCACCCCTACGACGCTGTGGGCGGTATAGTCTGATGTACAGATGTCACCGTTAATGTTCTCTGTGATGTAGGTTATACTCTTATAAAGGTTGATCCCTTCTTCATCTCTTTGGATCACCTGGAGTTTCCTCCCTTCTTTGCTGAATCTGGTCACCTTCAATTCTTTATTTTTATTCATCCCCACCAGAATGTCTCCATTGATGTGAGAGGAGTGAATGGCCCCCGGTTCCCACTCATCACACGAGATTATTATCGAGGTGGTCAATTCACTAGTAACATGGAATATTGCTTTTCTTTTGGCAATTGTGAAGAGAAGTTTTCCCTCCATGGTAATGGTGTGATAGCCTATGGCATCTCTAACATTATTAGTAATGATCTTTAATATATTTCCCTCCTTGTCAAAAAAGATGAGGTCACCCAGCTGTCACTGGTCCAGAAATTACCAGAAGACAAAACAAATAAATGAAAGGCTAGTGTACATATGTTTATATTTCCTTCCCTTTTCACATCAAATTAAAGTGACGGAGCAACTAGAATACCACACGACGAGTATGTCCTTCTGCTTTCTGCTTCTCTCTCTTTGTCCAGAGGTGGAAAGGTTTGACTTAAATTCTTTGCTTCTTCGAGGTGATAGGAAATCAATTCTTTTACTGGCCAGTTAATTTCTCCATATTGTTTTTCAATTTTCTTCTTATCTTCCTCACCTCGTATGAATGTCGGTACTGTCATATTATCTGTTACAGTGTTTTCCATTACATCAAATGATATGGAAGGCAATTTCTTATGGAATATTAAAAGACCTGACGGCTTAGTTGACGCTGATTCCATCTTGTTCTTGAGTATAAAAATTGATACTTCTATTTTTAAACTCTTCTTCTGTTTCTTTTAAATATGATTCTTTTATTGCACCAAGTTCACTCACCTTTTCGGAAAGGACAGTTTCTAAAATGTCTTTTATCTTACTGGCTCTTTGTTACATGGCTGATCTCGTCATATTAAATCTTTCCTCATCTTTTTCTGTTCGTTCTTTTTGAGAATTAAGTTTTCCTTTACGGATCTTTATCAGTTGATCTTTGTATTGCTGTAGTCTTTCATTGTAGACAAACTCTAGATCAGAGATCTGGTGAGTTCTGTGATCTGAAGTAGAGCATTTGGAACAAATAGGAGCCGTGCAAGAGTCGCAGTAGATTTCAAGGTCTCTTGTTGGATGAAATGAACATTTTTCTGCCGGCAAAGGTATTCTTCTTTCCGTAAAAAGAACAACTTCATGGTGTTTGTTTTTTTCTTCATTGAGATGGACGTCTCGGTGCTGATCACACAAGCTCTGTTGGCAGTCATTGCAGTAGAGACTGGTGCTCTCTTCGCATATTGTGCACACCGTGTAATGTTCAGCAGGTCCAGATTTATCGACGCTATCTTCTTCCATATTTTACGAGGCAACTGCATTTTAAAAATAAGTCAATGTACCAGAATATCTAAGATTTACGAGGCAATTGCATTTAAAAAATAAGTCAATGTACCAGAATATCTAAGATTTACGAGGCAATTGCATTTAAAAAATAAGTCAATGTACCAGAATATCTAAGATTTACGAGGCAACTGCATTTAAAAAAAATAAGTCAATGTACCAGAATATCTAAGATTTACGAGGCAACTGTATTTAAAAAATAAGTCAATGTACCAGAATATCTAAGATTGTAATCAAATAATATTAAATCTAAGATATGAATTATTTTTTTTCAAAACAATGTCATACAAGAGCTTCCATGATTTTTCAAGGAAGTGACCTAATCACTGGTTTCTAAAGAACTTTGAATATACAAATTTTATGATCAATTTCATTTGGAAGATCCCCAACTATTGTGAGTAAAAACTATTTCATGGATAAACTTTTTGAAAAAAGCATCAAAATAATATATTGTAATTTAGATTGGTTGAATATAGTGAAATATATTGTTTAAAAAGTTATTTATATACATATACCATGTAAATAAATAAGAATAATTTGTAAGAGTTTAAATAAACTAGAATAATATGTAATAATTTAATAGGAAATGAACATTTTGAATTTAATTTATCCATGCGTCCTCGATCTGGCAAACTTTGGCAGATGACCAATTTGAAGATAAAGACAATCACATTTTTAACCAGCAGTCACTTTATCTTCCTTGTTCATTAAGTAACTTATTGAATAAAGCGTTTATCAACAGTGATAAAAAGTAACGAAGAATATAAATATAGGACGCGGTTTGCATGTCACATGTAGCAAAAATTGATTTTTGTCCATTTTATTCTAATTTCTCATTAGAATTGTCTATAACAAGATTTATAATGCATAAATTGTATAACTATTGTAAAACGTTTTACTTTCATTCTTTATATTTTCAGTTGTAGTTGATGTTCAACATTTACATTTTTCCTATTATATCATGAAAGATTTCATTCTCGCTTATAAATAATTTTGTTTACAGAGATAACAATCAGTATTCAAGCTCAAAGTTGATTCAAACAATACAAAAAAAGAGCAGAGCAAACTCTGACCTCTAAAAAACTAGAGATGGGATCAGATGTTATGGAGGAGTGCGCATCCCTTTCCGACCGGTTATCGGAAAGTAACGGAAAAATCCGTGACAATCCAATGTGTAATGGCCTAACATTTATTATGAAAAACATCCATCAGCATATGACCATATGATAGATTGTATTTGTTTTGCTGATAAGGTCATTGTATCGACAATAAACCTTTTGAAATGATGATTTTAAACAAGACTGTTGTTATTCTTGTTTCATCAACTTGTTTGGCAATAACTCAATAACTCACCTCGTTTAAGACATTGTTCGTATGTTTAGCTGCTCTTACGTATCAATCAACTGAAATATAAAAACCCTATATGTAAGAGATAATTTAGGGTATATTCCTACATGAATCAGCGATGAGGACAATTCAGAAAGTTATCATGTTTATCATAAAGATTTATTTCTAGGTTACAATTAATGTCTTCTTCAAGTAAAATATCCAAATATGAAACAGATGCAATCAGACTCTGTGGTAGTTTTTATTTCAAGGTTACTGGGATATATCGATTTAACATACATGAATGTATGAACGAATTGACTGATTGTTTATTGTTTTATTTCCACTTGAGAATTTTAAACTCATATAGAGACGTCACCATATACCGATGAAGGACTTCAAATTTTGACCTTTACTCGGCACTCAGGGCCATTGAGCAGTGCCAACGCCTGTCGTGACACAGGGCCTCGGCTTGTAAGGTCTCACCCGAAGGACCCGTAGCTTTCACTTCAAAGTGCCGAGCGCATTGCGAAAGAACAGTTGTAACCCATTTTAATCGTCTCATAATTACATTTCCAATGTCTTTGTCCGAGATACAATTACAAATTGTAAATGTACTTTATTTCCCCATCAATGTACTTGCGCGGTTCAAAAAAAAAACAAAACAAAACAAAAAAACAAAAAAAAAAAAAAAAAAACACGTGCAGGGCGGAACAAACAGCTACACAGAAGCAGGACTTGGAGCAGGTGATTATTTTATGCATAAATGCATTCGGCGTTCATCACTGTTTCTGCAAATTATCACGCAACCAAATCGAATGATCATATCATGAAATAAAAAAATATGTCAATCGCAGCCAATGTACGAACTCATGAGCTTCACATGACCTTGACAAGCCTTCTACTGTCTGAGGTACCCTGAACAGTAATGCAAGAATTGAAAAAAAATACTGTTAATTCATAATACGGCGTAGGTATATCTTAATGTCGAGTTGAAGTCCACAACAAGTTTTTTTTTTCTTCTCATGTATATGATTTAGAATATATTCTGCTTCTTATAAATACAAAACTATTTCTGCTTTTAAAGGGACACAATTGGTACCTATGGAGATTCTAAGAGATTGTTTGAAAAACCACATGCTAGTAAATATTATCAATCAGAAACTCAAGCATCTTTTAAAATTCAACTTCAGAGTACATGTGTTCATAGTCAGAATGTTTTAATAAAATGATGTCAAAAAGCCTGGATATGATCCAACATTATAGAAAAAAATCATAAATGTTCACCCTGTACGTGACCCTCAAGGTTGGCATTAGGATTTATTTAGATATTTTTTTCTACAAAGGACAAAAATATCGCTGATAAGGGGTGGTAAGTGGTTTTGCATGTAGTGGACTGTTCTCCTTTCCATACTGTTTTTTTTTCTAAATGTAATTAGTTTTATTTTTACCTTTAAATTAATATGAAAATTATCAAATGTTGAAAGGCTAATACCGATTCATAGTCTTTAACATTCTTGCAATCCAATTTAAAGTTTGAAAGATTTACTACAGTGAAGGGAGGGGTTTCTTAAGAAGACAAACAAAACACAGATGATTGATGGTGTGCTGTAGATGTGCTAAAAGGATTTTGATTTTTTTATTTTGAAAGGGGTTGAAAATACCCCCCTTTTTAATGAACCAGATTCTAAGAATTTCTCATACATTCTATCGATACATCGCGACATAAATCGACACATAAAATTGTCTATCTAGAAATAGTCTACTTGAACGATGCCCTTAGACTAACTGGGTAAACGTAAAGAAAAGGTATGTTTCCTCTGCTATTGATTAGTATTGTTTAATGCGATGGAATTTTGAGCATGAATAATATTATTCAAGCATGCTTCGTTTAATTTGTGATATATTTTTCAAACAGGAAGTCTTATTAAACTCCAAAACTGGAGAGTCTCATTGTTTTGCAGCATTGAAAAAGATGGATGTTTAGCACTGTCACGACTCTCAAGGTACAATTTTTATTTTTGTTACATACTTAGTAATTAATACAGGATTATTGCATATGCAATATGCGTGACGTCACAATAGCCGTATCAGCCCTGCAGGGATGATACGGATTTGCAGGGCTGATATAGGTTATCAGCCCTGCAAATCAATCAGCTCCGCAGGGCTGATACAGATCATCATCACACCCACAGTAAATAAATCCACAAAAAACAGCACTTGTGATCATACACAATTTTTGGTGGGACAGGGTTCATATTCTCTTAATTTTAACTTTTCGAAAATAAGGATAATCTAATT